GGTAGCACAATTTTAACTCCAGCCACCACAATATTAACCCCAGGCAGCACAATAAAAACCAAAGCATACACAAATATTATCCACTGTCAGGCTAATTCTAACCACAGACTGCACGGTATGAACCACGGTAAGGCTAAAATAAACCACAGCCAGCCCATTATTAACCAGAGCAAACCAATTATCAACCACAGCCAGCACAATTTTAAACACAAAATTCACAATATTAACCATATAAATCAAAATGTTAAACATAAACAGCATAATATTAATAAGCGTCAGCCCAATATTAACCCCAGCCAGCCAAATGTTAACTACAGCCAGTCCAATATTAACCCCAACACTGGTATTCAGCACTTTAACTTACCATTAAGCCCACTCCTACAAAGATGACTACTATGCTGCTGCCAGTACTATAATTTTTATAGCAGACAGGAGATCACTCCACCCAACAAAATAAACCACAAGTGATGCTCACATGCCCCCCCCCCCCCCCACACACACAACAAGAAAACCTCCTATCATGAAAAGCATGCAAAGGATCAAAAGATACCCTCGAATGGAGTCAGTCCATCGGTGATGCTCTACTTTTTGGGTGCATGTATTCATGGATTGGTTGTTACCAAGCAGATTGTAACATGTTTACAACTGTTATGGTTTCTCTGATATGGTGAAATTCTGTGCATATACTTGTGGATGTATTTTTGCTTTCCATAAATAAAGAATAAAAAAAAAAATTAAATTGTACAACAGGTTAAAAATATGCTCCTGTAGAACCACCTCTATTTTAAATGAAAGTGCTTGCTGGAATCACAGGAAAAAAAAATTACTGTGGAAATGGATTTAAAACGTTGCAACTATGCATCGAAGGGCCTGATCTCTGAAATCTGTGCTGATTTTAACAGAAATGGATCTTTTCTTTCTCATGAAAGTGTGGCCCTTCAATAACTAATGGGATAATAATCAAGAAACAGAAGAAGAGGGGAGGAAGTATAGAGCCACATAATGGATAAAGCAGAACGAGGAAGATCCTTGCACTGAATATCCTCAGGTTGAGCTTCCTCTCCAGTAAGGAGAACAATGAGCAGCATCTTAGTGACACCATGAAATATCACACTAAATCTGTAGATGATTAGCAGTTAGAGGCAGCAGTGTCTTAGACCAACTTACACTGCAGATATTAAGCTCAAGGAGCAGGAAGTGCTCTGCTATTTTTAAGGAGGAATTTATACAAAACATAATCTTTTGATATATTGAATATTCACCCTTAATAATCTTTTAATGTTCCTAAATAGTAAAATAGTAGCATAGCAAATATTCACATGAAGCTGAGGTGCACTTTAGGGGCCTTTAATTAGCTTGGGTGCAGTCAGATAGGTAGGGAATAGCTAGTCAGAAAATCAGCCTCTACAAAGAAAATTCAATCAACATCAGAGAGGGACACATAAGAGGGTATTTTGGTCAATAGGTGAGAGTAGACATCTTCTCTGAACATTCTACAATATCTTAGCGTGCCATGTTGGGAATGGCATAGTTTGATCAACAATAAAAAAACTAGAATGTTTGGGACTTTCAAGGTTTGGAACTTTCAAGGGGTGAAGAAGGTAAACATTCTTCTACGCATTTTACATCATAGCTTCATCGGCAAGTGGAGGAATACAATGCATAGATCTGAAAACATATGTGCTACAAACTATCAGATTAAACCAGGAGAATGCCAAGAATTCCAACATCAAAGTAAGCCAGGAGGCCATAAAGGAATACAGCATAGCCCATATACAATTGGGGGATCACAGGGAGAACAGACAGAAGTTAAATTATGTCCTCTAACTCTGTAATAAGTATGTGGCTTAGTTTCCAGTCAAGCAACAGGAGGAATGGATCCCTTGTAGGTACTCCAGATAGTAGCCGTGTCAATGGGTAGATTTACTAAAACTGGAGCGTGCAAAATCTGGTGCCACTGTGCATGGTAGCCAATAGGCTTATTTAGCTTGTTCAACTAAAGTGATGTTGAAGGTTCAGATTAAAAAAAAAATAACAAACATAGTATACTTACCTACTCTGTGCAATGGTTTTACACAGAGCAGGCCCAGTCCTCCTCTTCTTGGGTCCCCCGCTGATGCTCTTGACTCCTGCCCCTTGCTGAGTGCCCCCAGGCAAGCTGCTTGCTCTGGGGGGGCACTCGTGGATGCTTGCTCCAGAACCTCCTGTGTCACTGAGGCAAACAGCGTGCCTTGATCTTGCCCCCCACTCCCTCCTCACTGGCTGTGATTGACAGCAGTGGGAGCCAATGGTTACTGCTGCTGTGTCTTAACATGGGAGAGACATGGGACATCTGCTGATCTTGTGCACATCACTGGATCAAGAACGGGGTCAGATATGTATAAGGGGTCACTGAGGGGAGCAGTGAAGGTTTTTTATCAGATGGGCTTCCACCTGGACATTGTATTAGTATTAGTTTTGAACCTATGATCAACAATATTTACAAGGATTGATGTATATTGTATGGTGAATATATCATACTGGGACCACATAGGTTACCCCATGTTAATTGCTTTAATTATGCATAAATAATATTATATTCTTTTAAAGATGTTTAATGTTTGGTCTATGCCTCAAAGTCCCAGGGGTATTGGTAATGTGCTTTTTTGTTAAAGGTTAAGCTTAAATCTGCCTGGATGCTGTAAGCAACACATACACTTTTCAATATCATTGTTCGTCTACAGGTTTTAGGCAGAAGGGGGACTCATGGGTAATATCCTGCATTTCAGGTTCATTTACAAATTGTGGTTTTATAGAACATCTTATATTGGCGTCTTCCAGGGGCGGACTGACCATTTGGAAACTCGGGAGTTGCCCGAGGGCCTGGGGTCAGTAGGGGGCCCTATGCGATGCCCTGGTACCTTTTTCATAGGCTTTTTTGAGTTTGGGCAAGGACACAGGGGCCCCATGATCCCCTATTGCCCGGAGGCCCCATGATTTGTCAGTCCACCCCTGGTGTCTGCCAATGGTCAGTGGAATCCAATGCCAAGGGCACATATAACAAATTTATGACATTTATATGAGAGAAGCTTGGTTTATATGTGGGAAATGCTAGACAAACTGTCCAAGAGAAGCTAAAGTTTCTGTATGTAGCAATAGGTATGAAACTCTTTTTCTGTGATTGAACAGAAAACAAAGCCTTTCAATAAATAAAAATCTAGCAATACCCAGCAATACATACAATAGAAAGTAAATTATCTCCTTATGAGCCTAAAATATAGCACCGATGCAGTCTGCAAATATTGTTTTCAGCTATTTCACTAGCCTGGCAAAACATCAGAAAATAACAGTTGACATATAAAAAAACATTTATATTGTCTGCAAAGGGATAGCACCCTGTATGTGACATGTCAGAAACCCATACATGACGAGAAGATTGTATAAGACAGCTACAGCTGTGTGCCAGTTGATAGTAGCGAATGCACAGTATGAGGATCAGTATTAGAGAGCTGGTGGTATATCCACACACCGAAAGGAGCACACATAAACTGTGCACGTCACAAATCAGAATGACAGGCTTATGAGCACACCACGCTGGGAACCAGGAGGGTCACCCAAGATGGAGTGGTGGAATGGTGTAATGTGTCTGACATCAGAGGTAGAGCTAGCCCATGCTGTACATGTGACAAGCAGTGCTGTTCAACTCCTGGCATTAAATCAGGCACAATTCCCTTTTCTGGTTTCGTAATTAAAATATCTTTTCTCCAATTAGCGCCCGTACAGTTAGGGGAATAATCCAACGGCAGTACTCATTTTTTAAACAGCCGTTTAGAAATCAAGGCTGTTGCTGAGAATGAAGTATGAATTTCTCAAAGACTGGAAAGCAGCCAGACTAAATACACTGCAACAGAGCACAGGTGTTTTATTTATTTTACTTTGTGCTTTTTTTTAGTTCTTTAAAGTGGTATTAAGTCTAAAACCCGAAAATGTGATATATTGCAGCTTACCAATCATTAGATGTGGTAGCTGCCTTCATTTTCTTTTTTAAAGCTTTATTTCCTTCTGTTTTCACCTGGCGGTCTGACTATTACCACATCTCCAGTATTAGAATGCCTGCACTCTGGATGAAGGAGCAACAGAGATGCCTTTGGAAAGCAGCATAGTCAGTTGGGGGGAGGGGGGATAGTAATGTTAGATGGACTAGCAGATTTCGAAACACTGAAGCCAAACTCCAGCTAACACTTTTAAAGCAGTTGCAGCAAGAGTTTTGTTGCTTTTGGGATCAGCAGGTAAAAATAAAAGAAAGAAAGCCTAAAAATTAAAGCTAATGCAGCCATTACATCTAGGAATCAATTAGCTACAATAAATTAAATGTTTATTTTTGGGGTTTAATGCCACTTTAAGTCAAAATAGATAGCCATCTAGTGTTCCTAACTAGTGGGCAACTTAATGACCTAAATTGGTAAAATTGGTGAACTTATTCATAAAAAAAAGACTGGCAGTAACCCAGTCATTGTGAATAAAGAGGTTTGTTGTGGGTGTACCAGGTAGGTAGCCAGCCACTTATATTTAACCATTTGCCTACAGGGCACTTATACCTGTCCATGCCAGCTTTCAGTGCTGTCACATTTTGAATGACAATTGTGCGGTCATGCAACACTGTACCCATATGAAATTATTATAATTTTTTTGAGACATATATAACTTTCTTTTGGTGGCATTTAATCACTTCTGGGTTTTTTATTTTTTGCTAAACAAACCAAAAACAACTGAAAATTTAGAAAAAAAAATTTCTCTTAGTTTTTGTTTTAAAATTTTGTAAATAAGTGATTTTTCTCCTTCACTGATATGCGTTAATGAGGCTGCAGTGATGGGCACTGATAGGCTGCACTGATGGACACTGATAGGTTGCACTCATGGGCACTGATAGGTGGCACTGGTAGGTGGCACTGATGGGCATTGACAGGCATCACTGATGGGCACTGAAAGGCAGCACTCATATATGGCACTGATAGGCGTCACTGATAGGCAGCACTGACTGGCACTGATAGGCGGCACTGACTGGCACTGTTAGGTGGCACTGACTGGCACTGTTAGGCGGCACTGATCGGCAGCACTGACGGGCACCGATAGGTGGCACTGATGCACACTGATAGGTGGCACTGACTGGCACTGATAGGTGGCACTGACTGGCAGCACAGATAGGTGGCACTGACTGGCATTGATAGGTGGCACTGACTGGCACTGATAAGTGACACTGAAAGGCAGCTCAGATGAGCAATGATATATGGCATTGATGTGCACTGGTAGGCACTGATATGTGACATTGATGTGGCACTGATGGGCACTGGCAGGTGGCAATGCTGAGCACTGACAGCTGGCATTGATGGACACTGACAGGTGGCACTGCTGGGGCTACACTGATCATCAGGGCACACTGATCATCAGTGCCCTGATGATCAGTGTACATGTCCCCTCTGAGGGATGTCGATTACCAACTCTCCACTCCTCACGAGCTGTCAGCGTGACAGCTCGTGAGGAGAGAAATGCCGATATAACCGGCATTTCCCTATTTACATGCAATCAGCTGTGATTGCACACAGCTGATCACATGACCGAGCCGACATCCATTGATTGATTATCCGCTGTGTCCGAGGGACATAACGCACCACCGATCGCAGTGCTGTGTGTCCCCGGAGCCTCGCATGCGCGGTTAGAGTGGGAAGACGTCATATGCCGTCCTCCCAGAATGAGAGAACCACCTTGCGCCCGTCATTACCTTATATGGTGGGCGGGAGGCAGTTAAAGGGGGTGGATTTTCTGCTGGGGCATTTGATATAATACGCAGCATACTTGCACATTATGACATATTTTCCTCTGTGTAGAGATGAACTTGCATTTGTTCAGACTTGAGTTAGAGTCCAAACCCGGTAGCCAGCTGTCATTCTTCGTCCAATGAGCTTACAAAGGAACGGGGATGCCATATTAGGTCAATGTCATCGATCTAATATGGCCATGTGGACATATTAACTTAATGACATTGACCTAATATGGTTATGTGACTATATTAGGGTAATGATCTGGTAGGCTTCCCCACCCCTTTGTAACTTCAGCTTATCCTTACCTCTGAATTCTCCCTGATCCAGCCATGACATCTATGCTTTATTTTTCACCTTCTTCTTAGCTCCATAACTGCTAATACCCTCTTTGCAGAAAATTCTTCAGCCTTAGGACAGCTAAGGACGATGCAACTCCTGCAAGTATATGATGGACTTGCATTATCCTGCCACCAAGATCCACTCTTTAGCATCTTGCTTTAACATGGGCACTGCACATGTGGAGCAAGCAGTCTGAAAACCATTGCTTGTATATAGGAAAATGTTTTATCAAAAGGAAATTACAGTAGTACAAAAAATGTACATGCAATTTAAGTTTACTTCAATATCACTTTAACATAAATCCCCAGTATGCTTGGAGTGACTTGTGCCTGTTCTGCAAAGAGCTACTACCCAGTCCGGGGCACTACAATAGTCGTAAATGTCTATCTATGCAGCTGCACTGGGGTCTACAAGCAAATAGTTTGTAGCCTAATTATAAAGGCATTAGAGCCAATATCTAACATCAGCCAGAAGTTGATCTTAGATATTGGCCAGAAGAATACCAGATAAATTGAACCAGAGGAATAGGAGAAAAAAAGGCAAAAAAAGCAGATTGTTAGTTTTAGTTTTGTATTTTATGACAGTAGGGTTTACGGCACATTAAAGTAACTGATTTTGATGTACAACAGTTTAATTATCTTGGTGACATTAATGGTGTTTTTTTAATGTGATACTAATCTTTATTGTAAAAAAATGTAGGTGTTTGGTTATTGTTAGGTTAACCCCCTGTGCCAATGGATCATTGTTCAGGCAGAATTGCTGGTTGCTTATCTCTGCTTGCACAAAAGTGCCACAAATATCTTTGATAGATGTTCTGTGATTCGTGTCATGGCTTTGGTCATCTCACCGCCTGGCACACTCTTTCAAGCAGCAGTTTTCCACTTAGGGTCCATGCATACTGGGCTTAAAAATGCTACTTCTATAGGAATTTAGCATTTTGTCTATAGAAGTAGCAGGGCAGCCATCAGAAATTTCAGGACCCCTTACTCAGCTTTAGGCTTGGGCTCCCCCCACGCTTGACCACCAATATTACCCAGGGTCGGCCCACTGGCCGTTCAACTGAATGCCCCTACTGGTCATCCCACTCCTTCAGTGCAACCACTTTTATTTTAACAGTCTTAATATATGAAAATGAAACGTGTATTCCAAGTCATCAGCGTTTTCAAGATTTAATAGTAAGGAATGATATTTTTACCCCAAAATATGAAGCCTTCAACCACGACAAGGTAGACTCTGTTGAGCAGGACCTTACACGAACTGCACTACCTTTTCAAAGAGACATATTCAGCAAAGAGACATCCCTATATATTCAGCAAACAGACATCCCCATACATTCAGCAAAGAGACATACCCATATATTTAGAAAAGAGACATCCCAAAGCAGTATAGATATGGCCCAATAGAAACAGTTATTGAATTAAAAAGTCCCCTTTACAGCCCCCCTTCTTTGCACCCCAATCTCCTTTACAACCCTCCATCTTTGCACTCCAGTCCCCTTTACAGCCCCCCTTCCTTGCACCCCAGTCCCCTTCACAGCCCCCCTCCTTGCACTCCAGTTTCCTTTACAGCGCCTCTTACTTGCACCTCCATCCCCTTCACAGACCCTCCTTCCTTGAACCCCAGTCCCCTTCACAGCCCCCCTTACTTGCACCCCATTCCCTTTCACAGCCTCCCTTACTTGCACCCCATTCCCCTTCAAAGCCTCCCTTCCTTGCACCACTGTCCCCTTCACAGCTCTCTCTTCCTTGCACCCCATTCCCATTCACAACCCCTTCCTTGCACTCCAGTCCTCTTTACAACCCCCCTTCCTTGCAACTCTGTCCCCTTCACAGCCCACACTTCCTTGTACCCTAGTCCCTTCAAAGCCCCCCTCCTTTCAATCCAGTCCCCTTTACAGTGCCCCCTACCTTGCACCTCAGTACCCTTCACAGCCTCCCTTTCCTTGCACCTCCATCCCCTTCACAGCCTCCCCCTTCCTTGAACCCCTGTCCCCATCAAAGTCTCCCTTCTCTGCACCCAAATCTTATTCACAGCCCTCTTCCTTTTAATACAGTCCCCTTTACAGCGCCCCCTACCTTGCACCTCCGTACCCTTCACAGCCTCCCTTTCCTTGCACCTCCGTCCCTTTCACAGTCCTCCTTTCTTGCACCCCAGTCCCCTTCAGACCTCCCCTTCCTTGCACCTCCATCCCCTTCACAGGCCCCCCTTCCTTGCACCACAGTCCCCTTAACAGTCCCCTCCTTGCACTCCAGTCCCCTTTACAGCCCCCCCCCTTACATGCACCTCCATCCCCTTAATGTGAATGCCCCCTTCCTTACATCACATCTCTCCTTGCCAATGACAACCCTCCTCTAAGGCTCCTAATCCTACTTTACACAGTGGGCAGAAACAGGAGCGGACTGACAACTCATGGGGCCCCCAGGCAATAGGGGATCATGGGGCCCCTGTGTCCTTGCCCAAACTCAAAAAAGCCTATGAAAAAGGTACCAGGGGCATCTCATGGGGCCCCCTACTGACCCCGAGCCCTCGGGCAGTGCCCGGGTTTCAAAATGGTCAGTCCGCCCCTGGGTAGAAGGTAGTAGGCAGAAGGCACAGTATTTCTGGACAGAGAGCAGGAGCTGCCCAGCTTTCCTTATTAACAGGCAGGTGATAGGTTGCTAGGAACGCCCCGCAACCAATTACCTATCTATTAACTTGTAAAGTTGGTCAACTCTCACCCTTTGTTCGGACATGGTATGCTTTCTGCCTACTACCTTACACCCGCTGTGTAAGGATGAATTCTGCGGCTGAGGTGGCAGCAGTGGAGCGTGGGCATGGAGAGAAGGGGAGGACTCTCATTCACGGACCGTGGTCTGCCGATCAGGGCAGTGATCTGTTTGACAGGAGACTCTCATGGAGCCCCTGGGCAGTGCCCAAATGTCAGTCCGCCCCTGAACCTGGGCCCCTCGGCATGCCTGGGCCCCCTACATGTATATGGGCTGTCACCCCCTGACGGCGGCCTTGAGAAGAAGCTCAATGCTATCTGATGTGTCCATGCACCTTAGGATGTTTAGAGGCATTTTTTAAACTCAGCATTTAGAGGCAGAAAGAAAATCCTTCTGGTTTGCATTTTTGAGAGTAATTTTCTGGCAGAAAAAAACACTAAACGCTCTTAAATGCCTGTACAAAAACACTCTATATGAGCGTTTTTTTCTGCCAAAAGAACTGCCATTTTTTTTAAGCCTAATGTGCATGGACCATTAATTATCAAATGTAACACTACTGAGGCTCGGTAAGAAGCTGCTCTTTGTGCTCTGCTGTTGCTATATTTTTTAGTTAAGGGTGCATTATTCCTCACAATTTGTCTACGCAAGAGCCTGTCTTTGGTTTATGTGTTCAGAACTCCCCTGCTTGCTGTTTGGAATTGCAGTACCAGTGAACAAAGACTTCAATGTCATCACCTACAAGCACCATAGTCTGCATTTACTGTGACATGTCTTGTGGTGAGCTGACACTTCACTGACCACTTGTGTGCATCAATAAGTGGTTAGCGTGGGCTTATTGTGCCCAAAGACCCCACTTTGACATCTAATTGTGCCAGGTTCTGTTTGCATTGACTTACCTCCAGTGTTTGTACTTGTCTGTATTTTGCTATACTTTACAGTTCCACAGAAAGCTAGAAGGTCATACTTGGCAAAAGTGAAGCAGTGAGCAGCATCTTGTAATACGTGTGCCTGAAATTACTCCCACCTCCTCCTTTTTTCTGCTAATGTAAATATACGACTCATTTTAGACCGTTACCTGATGTTGATTACTTTCAGAGTGTTCATTTGCATTATAAAACATTGTCTGTTCTGATTAGAAATAACATTTTATTTTTTCCTCTAGTTTCATGAATATTAATATTAATTAAATCGGTAAAAAAAGATTTTTTATATATCAGACAACCCCATGAATTATAAATTTGACTTTTTTTGTTCTAGTTCATGCATCTGAAATAATTTGGCTTCTGATATGACTAATTAGCTTTGCGAGGGCTGGGAAAGGGGGGTGTCAGAAATGAACTGGGTCAGGTGGGACAGGAGAGCAATTTTGAAGTCTATTGGGATATACAACACTATATTTATATGAAAGGGACAAGGACAAAGCAGAGATTAAACATAAGAGGTTATCAGCGTTATAAGATGAGTTACAAAATGTGTCCTTCCAAACAGGTGCAGCTATCAAAACTGGTCTGACATTTACTA